CTCCAATTGATCCCATAAATCGTCTCTCAGATTACTGTTTAGAGTTGCATACATAGTTGAGAGTAGCTAGTCTGGGTAGTCCTGCCTAGAGATTGCTGCAGTGATTTGCTGTGAGCTGGCTTTCACCACTTTAACATTAACTATGTTTGGGTTCCAAAGCATCCAAATACCCCCACTTCGACCTATTGGATCTACATGGGCTGATGTTGTAAAGCCCATACCATTGAAGAACAAACCCATAGCCTTGAACTCAACTTTAGTTTCCATAATGACAGCCAGTTCTGGTTTTATGGATCTGAACTAATTCTCTTATATTCCTTTTAAACTTTTTGTTCCCTGCTCCTTTGCAATTCCAGGTTAACAAATCCATAGATGGTATAGCTTGTTGGGGTAGAGGTACTTGGCTATCTATTGCCAAGTAGCCTCTTATGGCTTTGAAATTATCTTCCATCAACTTTAGTGGTGTCATTGAGGGGTAGTGCATATCCTGGTTTGTATCCACCTGCCTTCATGGTTGAAGCCTCAACTTTACTTCCTCGTTCCACCATTTTCAGGTGATAAGGTGAAACATTTCTTTCCCTGGGGATAGACACACCAATACTCTGTTCTGGTGCAGTATGTGCTTCTCCGTAGGGTAGTTCTCTCATTTCTCCTCCATTTTTATCTGGTGGAACTCTGAATATGGGTTTGGAAATGCCTATTCTTGGATAAGAATTAGTGGAATGTTGACTGGGGTTGGTTGGGTGAGTGGGTGGCTAGTTTATGGTGATAAATGTATGATTTTTGCTACTCAGAGGATTTGATGTCTCACTCTTCCCTATTACTACTTCTTGATCTCGTATTATCATGTGAGTACCACCTTTATTTCCCATTCGGACTTCCTCTCCTTTCTTTTAGTAGACATGCCAAGGCTAGTTGTTTCATTCTTTTTTACTGATGCTCTAGCCTTGTACCGAAAGCCCCTGTCGACTTGGGCTTTTTCTTTCCCTTTTTCCTTGATTAATTGGGCTTTGAGGCCTTTTTGTTCCTCTTCCTCTCGTAACATCTCAAATCTATTAGTCTGTTGAGAAGTATCACCTCTGTGAACATTTGGGCCTCTTGATTTTCTTCTTTGGCTTAGAACAGTCATCCATGGCCCATAATTCCTTGGGCCTAGCTCATCTTTATGTTCTTTCCTCCTTGGGTTTGGCCCAGAACTGACTTGACTTTCATTTCTCTGGCTTCCATCTACATTCATTGCCTGACCTTCTTACACTATCACCGAAGTAGGTTTATCAATGCATGCTTCTCTTCGATGACCAATCTGCCACAAGAAAAACATAATGAGTGTAAATGTTCATATTCAACTTCATAAGTGTGTTTACCTATAGAAAAATGAGAAATTAGAGGCTTTCAGAGGTCCATCTCTATGCAAACTCGTGCATATTTGCCTCTCACTGCCATAGCTGTATTGATGTTGATCTTGAGCGGAACTCCAATAACTTTTGCAATGTGGTAAAGGATTTTCTCGTTGTAGTACTCAATAGGGAGATTAGGAAATCTCACCCATACTGCTGTAGTATCCTCTTCCACTTCGTCCGATTTGAAATCTTCCTGCCATTTCCTCATTGTTACATAATGATCCATCACTATCTATGGTCCTCCAATATATACTTTGGTGTATTCATCAGCCATGTCGAACTTAACAATGAAAAACCCATTACCAATATCTAGGGCTTCAAAGTTTGCTTGTAACCCCCAAATCTTTGTCATATCGGTTATGAACAGTTTGTACCCTATGGTTTTCCCTAATAATCTCACGATCAAACACTTTTTCCATGGCTCACACACTTTCTTTAGGAGTCCTGGTGGTATCTTTACTTTGGGTATCCCATATCTGGCCTCATCCATTACCTCATCCTGTTTCTCAAACCTCTGATCAGTAGTTGTATCCTTTTCATCTGAAGAGATCTCTTCAACATCGCAATCTAAATTTTTTTTCATTGCAATTTTCATTGAATCTCGAACGGAGGAGTGCTTTCTTGAAGGATCTTGTTGATTCTTTGATTACCTCCATGATTTCCATCTAGACTCTGGTTGAATCTTCACCTGTTGGGTTAGATGTGTCCTCCATTGACTGTTCCTCATAGTGAGTGAGGTTTTGCACATCCCTTGTTTCTTTCTCCACCGATTGACTTTCAGCCATGGTATCATCATCTGGCTGCTTTGTTGCACTTTCAATCTTCTTCTTGCTATGGTTTAGGAGATCAATCTCCTCCGTTGAGGAGCCATCATCTCATCGTTCTTCAGATCGGAGAGCTTCATTAACGGTCATTTTCTAGAGAGAGAAAAAGTCTATTTTGAATTTTGAGTTTTAAGTCTTAATTTTTTTAATGTAATGTAGTTTCATACCAAATAACTACCAACGTGTCATTTTTCATCCAAAAGATGATTTTGGGAGTACACTAAGAAAAACTACACATGTTAGTGGTCAAAGTGAGAAAAAATATTTTAAAAATTAAAGTAAAAAAATCATGAAATTTAAGGGGCAAAGTATAATTGTCCATTTTTATGTCAACGTAGTAGGTGGCACATGGCGCCATGTGGTTGTCAACGTGGCATTTTCCGTCTACAATTGAACCAAAAATAGGTTTGGTGGTAAATTTAAAAAAATTACAAAAGTTAAGGGTCAAAATGAAAAAAATATATATTTTAACAATCAAATTGAGAAAATCATAAAACTTCATAGGGCAAATTAAATTTAACCTAAATTATAATGATCAGCGAATATAAAATTTACTTTTATGTTCTCATTTTAAATTTTGATTTCTAAGAAACAAATCAATTAACTATATACTGTAAACACAGTAACATCATTGCTAAGGGTCGACATCAGGTTAGGCTAGCTAGCTAGCAAAATCCGAGCTCAGGACCACTTGTGGGCTAAGACCAAGTTGTTTCTTTTTTTCTTTTTCTTTTTTAGGGAGGGGGGGAGTGGGGGAGGGGGCTCAGGTTGAGTCAGGAGGCCAAAATTTATGCCCAAACCCTACTCAATAGGCTTGACCCAGACGAGCTGGCGGGCTGAGCCAATGGGCAGACCAATGGGCCTCCTCTATTAGGGCAACAGACTAAGCTCGAGGTTATAATTATACTCATGGTCACTATAATTTGTCTCTTGTGCTAATTAGGTTCTTATAATTCCAATTGTCTCTTAAATTTTCATAATATATCGATTTAGTTCAATTAATAACAAAAATCAATGACAAAATGATCTATTCAAAAAGGGAGTTTCTATTTACATAACCATTTTATCTCTTTACACCACTTTTTAAATATCTTTTACTATGATCTCTCTTTGGTAAAATTACCTACACGGACTTAAAATAATATATATATATATCCCCTCCCTCTGCCCCAACTTCTCCTCAGTCCCTTTCCTCTTTCTTCTCATCACCCACCACCACTCTTCCCCTCTATCAACCTCTACCACCCAACCACCATCATTTGTCTTCCACCTACCACCACCACGCGCTCCCATTTTTTCTCACCCTCTCATCCTTTTGCAACTCCTAGTACAACTACTATAATAAACATAAAAACACTAACAAAAAAACTAGAAAAATAAAAAATTGATAGTTAAAACACAAACACACACACACACACACATATATATGATAATTGTAAATAAATTATATACAAAATTTTAGTATGTAAAAGATTTTTGGGTGTAATTTTCTATCATTTTAATATAGTTTCATGCTATTTAAAAAAAAAATAGAGTCGAAACTTGTTTGGCTCTGATTCGTCAAATAAACTAAGATTGTTCGACCTTCAGTAGCTAAATATTTTAGGATTGTTCGGACTATTAGGTTTGAACATAACTAATTTCACTAATTTTGGCATGTTCGGCTTGCCAAAAAGAAGAAAAACACGAATGCAAATAAAAATAAAAATAAAAAAACCAAAAAAGTTATCTTTCATACCAATGAAACACTTAGAAAGAGAATTTATCAAAAAATGACCATAAATTTTATACATATTATTAATTAAAATTGTAAACTTTTTCATGTATATATATATTTTTTATTTCTGACATCATTGGGGTGTAACTCGTTTTTATTTATTTAAAATACATTTTATCTTCTATGATTTTAGAAATTACATCACTACAAGAAATTGCATTTTTCGCAACGCAACAAAATATGTTGCTAAAAGGGAAAATTCGTTGGCAAAGAGTTTTGCCGACACACAAAGCTACGTTGGCAACCCGTAGGCAAAAGTGAGTTGGCAAAAGTTTTTGCCGACGAAATGATCATTGCGTTGGTAAAAGTAATACCTTTAGCGACGAACATAGTCGTCGCTAAAAGCCTCCATCCATCGTCGGCAATTTACCTTGCGTTGGTAAAAGTCATTCAAATATGATAATTGTGTGACACTTTTCGCGACACAAATTTGCATGGGCAAAAAATATACTTTTAGCAACAACATATGCGTCGGCAAAAGTAAACTTTTGGCGACACATTTAAGTCGGTAAATGTTGCCATTTGCCGACGATTTGTTTGTCGCTAAAGCTTTACTTTTGGCAACGACAAATTGACATTGGCAAAAAATACACTTTTAGCAACACAATATGAGTACAGCTTCTGTCAATGGCTAATGACAAATTACAATGCCAAAATGGCTGAGACAGACAGAGAGTAGTTTGGCCTTTTTTTTGTATCCACATCTGTGAATTTAAAAAGCAGGTTGGCCCTTTTAATGCAGAGTCAAAAGAAAGTAATATTGGAATAGGTAGTTACAGAGGAGCAGTCGTTCAGAGTCATTCATGACCTCTGTTGGGAGGACAAGCATTTCAGGGCATAATGAAACCCAAATAAGAGTCATACAAAATGCAGATTTATGTATCATGCAATCCTGGGAAGTGAGTGAAATAGTATTCTCAGTCCAACAACCAACCTTTTTTTATTATTATTTTTTTTTTTTTTTTATTTGTTGATTTGATCAAGGAGAGCAGGGCAGTAATGGTAGGTGCATGGCTACATGCACGTAACAGGGAGTGATATCCTGCATCAGATTTGAGTGTTCAACCACATCAAGTATGAATCCTCCCACTTGATTGGAACACAAAGTTTGGTTTGGTTTTGGTTTATCATTCCTGATTGGAACACAAGGTTTGGTTTTATCCATTCCACCTTTGTCTAGATAGATTAAAAAAAATGAAAAAAAAGACGCAAACACAGCAGACACAGAAAGAATGAAGCATTGCAGATATACATGCAACAATATCTGAAATTTCTATTCAATAAAAAATTAAAATAAAAAAAAAAATTGTATTTGAGAGGGGAAACCTGGATTCCTGAAACAACAAAATATGGTATCTCAAACTTCACACGTATAGAAGCTTTTCTCTCAGGAGCTGCGTCTTCAGATGTTATACTGGGAAGAGTATACTCCGCTCTAAGCATATATTCCTAAATTGAATTTGCAAAGAGTGTCAAAATTCCATGTCAAAATTGCAAGTGGAAAAGATACTGTAGCCCCACATAACCAATAGCCATGAACAAGAAATTACTAGCAAACAATACACTGAGAAAAAATTGAGGTAAACTCTCACCTTACCACCAGGAAAAGATTTAATTTTCCAGATCAAAGCATCATTTTCTGGTGCATATGAAGCAGATCCCAATGATGTCCAAACATTTGGGTTGATAGCATCGGCTGGAACAGGCAACTCAATCTCAACATTTGTAGCAGTGCTGTAAAATTGATTCAATACATGAATTATTTAAGAAAAATCTAATGATCAGGCATTTCAAACAGCCCAAGCAATTGACCCATAAGGCCTTAGCCATACCTGCGAATGAACAACGGCAGGGCTCGACGCCACTTCTCCCCCAAAACAAAGCTTTTGTTGCTGAGCAAGGTCTCGGATCTCGAAACACACAAGAGATGAATTTTATCTTAAGCCAGTTCAATAGTTCACAGACAAAAATCTTCGGATCTATTTATGAAACAACAAATGTACCTCTCAATCTGTTCTGCCTAGCAAGTCCTGCCCTGCTTTTGGCAGCTGCCGGGGTTTTTGCCATTTTTTGCAGCTCGAGTTGCAAGTACCTGCCATGGAAATGCACAAGGAATCTTGATATCTATTAATGTCAGACACTTTATTCAATGATTCAGAAAACCTCTCCCCAAGTTAAATGGTTTTTTTCACCTTAAGGCTTAGAGGTTCTCTATTGGCAGAATATAGTGCTGTGTATAAACTGTAAGATGTGTCGTGTTCTGTAAATTCTTGTCTGAAATCTGTTTGGATTTTAATAATTTGTATTACATGAATGCTTTTTACCTAGAACAATGAAAGTGCACCAGTCATATTAATGCACCCAATCCAGCCATTTCACTCCAAATTCAATGCCACTGACAGTTTGAATGCTAAAAGGCTTGGCCACAATGACTGTGCACTTAGAACTATATGCTTTTTAACATCTAACTGCATATAGACTTCAACCACGAATTCTTCGTATTCAATGTCTACAAGATTAAGCATCACAAGGTAACTATATGATCAAAATAACTATCATGGTGAATCCATGTTCCAGAAAATCTGGATTAACATGTTATAGAACTATATGCCTTTTCACATTGTTATACACATTCGATAAGGTGCTACCATTTCAATTAACATGGTTTGCTTTATGCTCAGAACCAACAAGAAAAATGAAGAAGAAGAAAGAGAATTGCAAACAAACTTTATTTGTGGCTTTATATATTTTACCCTAGAATCAGACCCAAGTTGTTGTTCCAAAAATCTGCGGATCACTTTTTAAGACCAAACCTGGAAAAATTTTACTCAATGCCAAGATGGTATGTGCAGGTATCATTAAGCTGCGCTTGAAAACCTGCTATACATGTAAAATGATAGACCAAATGTTTGTGATCATTTGTTGCCCAAGAAACATTTCCACCTTTCACACAAATGCTTGCATGATGCTAGTAAATAACTCATGGGATGAATCTCACCAACCAGGTGATAATCAATAAGTTAACTCCAATCAAGATCTATTCACCTGGGGCATGAAAACTGCAGCCAATATAGCAACAATATAATTTAACAACAAAAGCCCAGAACCAAGGAATGCAATGTTTCTAACGCCAAGCTTTGTTGCCAAAGTAGATATCTGAAACCTAGGAAAACAATTATATCAACAGCAAATGGAAACAGTTAGGTGTTTAGCAATAATCATGGTATTTGATCTTAGATTTGAATAAGAAGCAAAGATTCAAGGAACAGGTGAGTAAATTTAGTACATTATAGCTTCTAAGAAAAAATTTGGGAAAAAGTAAAACCTAGTAAATAACTCATGGGATGAATCTCACCAACCAGGTGATAATCAATAAGTTAACTCCAATCAAGATCTATTCACCTGGGGCATGAAAACTGCAGCCAATATAGCAACAATATAATTTAACAACAAAAGCCCAGAACCAAGGAATGCAATGTTTCTAACGCCAAGCTTTGTTGCCAAAGTAGATATCTGAAACCTAGGAAAACTATTATATCAACAGCAAATGGAAACAGTTAGGTGTTTAGCAATAATCATGGTATTTGATCTTAGATTTGAATAAGAAGCAAAGATTCAAGGAACAGGTGAGTAAATTTAGTACATTATAGCTTCTAAGAAAAAAATTGGGAAAAAGTAAAAGATGGAATGTAAGTAGTTAGGACGTCATTTAATATTTATTGGATGTTGTCAAAATGTAAATATATATAAAGAAGGGGGAAAAAGAAAGTATCAGCATCTTGAAAACAATCCTATGTAGGAATAGTAAAAAACAAAACAAAAATAGCAACAGACATATTGTGAAAATTGGTTTTCTAACTTACTTTCTATCCCCCTCTACATCTGGAAGATCTTTAGTAATGGCAATGACTAGCACAAACAATGTTACAAAAGTTGTGATGAAAGCCACAGGTAAGCTGCAGTAGAAATTGATAACGTCCACATGAGAAATTTTGTTGAGTTTGAGAAATTTATAACGTGCACATAAGCTGCAGGTAAGCCATAGCCGTTAAATCTTGAAGTTAAGTTGGTTATGATTTCTATAGCTATGTTGCTAAGTTATTTGACATAATAGTGCTCACTTCCCTTAAGTGATATTAATCTATTCAATTGATATGGTAACGGGTAATAAACTGAAAAAATGACTAACAGTCAATTTCATGAATCTACACATTGGGTCGATCTGTTTCTGTTCAATTAATCAAACCAGAAGTGTATTAAAAAAGAAACCTTTGAAGCAGAGTGGAGATGTCCTTTTCGTTGATTGAACCCTTTTTGTGCTTCTTCGTCTTATCAATCATTGTGATTTTTCAACTGAAATCGCATCACAAAAATCAAAAAATTGAAATTAAAATTCAAAAAGAATACCTTTATAGCCAAATATTAATAAACATAAACAGAAATTCCAAGTGTACAAAGGCGTGTAAACGAATCGAATCAATTAATCAAACCAGCAGTGTATTAATAGAAAACTGAAAATTTTTAAAACATACGATACGAATCTGTGCAGTCAATGCATCTTCCTTACTGTCATCCTATGCCTTCCCATAGCAAGTTCAAGGTCCACCACATAAAGACAAAGTACCATGTTAGGCAACTAAAAAAATGATAGCTGAGGAAAAAGAACACAAATCATGACACGACCGCAATATGCAATTTTGTCCATTGAGCTTTCCCCTAGTTAAAAGAGTTCCAAAGTACTGCAGCAAAGGAGGTGTTTGCCCAGCTTGCACTGGAACACTCTGCAAAGCATAAAGAGTAAATGAGGGCCTTGACATTTACACCTTCTGAAGACAAATGGTTAGGGCTGATATCATGTTAATAAAACCTGAAATTTAGCAACAGTGTCAGAAGTGCGCAGAATTCCCTGCGGTGACTCTGCAGCAAGTTCCGCAGCCTCCTTATACTTCCTCCTCCCAACCAACCCATCAATTCCCAGAACACCACTATCAGAAAATCTTTGACATGCTGTCGTAGGAGGTGGAGTTGGAAATAGGCACCGATAACATGGACCTCCATTGTAATTGTAAACTGTAAGCTACACAAATGATTTGAGGATGCAGTTGCAGTAAGAATTTGAACAATATAAAACAAGAAGAAATTCCACAAAGCTAACTTTGAAAAGGACAAGCAGCATATTTTGACTTTTTTGTGTGCTTTTACCTGAAGGTCTCATTACAACTTCTAAATCACATATTAACACCTGCAGTTTCAGGTCCTTAGAAATAAAACCAACCCCAAGTTTAACCAATGACTGCCGTAAGCTGACTCTGATTTCACCAACAGATACAGATTCAACAGCACCATGTGAATTGTCAAAGTCATAATAACGTGAACAAACATAATCCTATAGATGCACTCTGTCATCAGATAAAATATTCCATTGACTCTTTTCTTATACAAGTATGATGTTTAATAAAACTCAAGCAAAAGCCAAATAGTTATATCTCCAACTAATTATATCCTTTTAAAACCAAAATTGCTTTCAGCCTTGGTAAAGGGAACCTTTATAAATAAAAAATCAAAAACCAAGAATAATATGAAAGGAAAAAACAAAAAAAAGGTTGACATAGATGGAAAGCTTGTACAATAAAAATTATAAAATAAAAACTCACTGCTACCAACAAGAACAGAGGTATCAAAATATTCTCAGTCATCGTTCATACCATTTTAAAAGCCATCCAAAGAGAATCATTGCCAAGACATAAACTCAACTCAACAAGCCTTTGTCCCAATTACTTGGGGCCGGCTGCATGGATCCATTTCCTCCAGTTGATTCCCAAATTAATTAGAGAGACATGATAGCCAAAAAATGAATAAAGAATACAGCTTCAAAAGTGTTATGATGAGAAAGAATTCACAGAGAACAGTTAGACAGTCATTTTTTATTGGATGTATGATTTTCCAATATAAGCACAATGAAAATCATGGCCTATAATTCTTCCTAAAATATTAGAGAGACATGATAGCCAAAAAATGAATAAAGAATACAGCTTCAAAAGTGTTATGATGAGAAAGAATTCACAGAGAACAGTTAGACAGTCATTTTTTATTGGATGTATGATTTTCCAATATAAGCACAATGAAAATCATGGCCTATAATTCTTCCTAAAATATTAGAGAGACATGATAGCCAAAAAATGAATAAAGAATACAGCTTCAAAAGTGTTATGATGAGAAAGAATTCACAGAGAACAGTTAGACAGTCATTTTTTATTGGATGTATGATTTTCCAATATAAGCACAATGAAAATCATGGCCTATAATTCTTCCTAAAATATTAGAGAGACATGATAGCCAAAAAATGAATAAAGAATACAGCTTCAAAAGTGTTATGATGAGAAAGAATTCACAGAGAACAGTTAGACAGTCATTTTTTATTGGATGTATGATTTTCCAATATAAGCACAATGAAAATCATGGCCTATAATTCTTCCTAAAATATTAGAGAGACATGATAGCCAAAAAATGAATAAAGAATACAGCTTCAAAAGTGTTATGATGAGAAAGAATTCACAGAGAACAGTTAGACAGTCATTTTTTATTGGATGTATGATTTTCCAATATAAGCACAATGAAAATCATGGCCTATAATTCTTCCTAAAATATTAGAGAGACATGATAGCCAAAAAATGAATAAAGAATACAGCTTCAAAAGTGTTATGATGAGAAAGAATTCACAGAGAACAGTTAGACAGTCATTTTTTATTGGATGTATGATTTTCCAATATAAGCACAATGAAAATCATGGCCTATAATTCTTCCTAAAATATTAGAGAGACATGATAGCCAAAAAATGAATAAAGAATACAGCTTCAAAAGTGTTATGATGAGAAAGAATTCACAGAGAACAGTTAGACAGTCATTTTTTATTGGATGTATGATTTTCCAATATAAGCACAATGAAAATCATGGCCTATAATTCTTCCTAAAATATTAGAGAGACATGATAGCCAAAAAATGAATAAAGAATACAGCTTCAAAAGTGTTATGATGAGAAAGAATTCACAGAGAACAGTTAGACAGTCATTTTTTATTGGATGTATGATTTTCCAATATAAGCACAATGAAAATCATGGCCTATAATTCTTCCTAAAATATTAGAGAGACATGATAGCCAAAAAATGAATAAAGAAAAAGTATCTAAATATTCAACAAAATAACCTATAAAACGAAAGAAAGAAAAATAAAATGAATGCTTACGTGCGAAACGATAAATTATCATATCTTTAATGACCATATATATCAGTATTGAACCACGAACATCCATCACCAACCTGTGAACAAAAGGATAAAAACATGAGTATTTTATTAATGCATTAACTTCAACAATAATATACAAATACATTTAAAATTAATCAGAAAATTGTTGTGAAGCTATTGTTTTATCAAGCTATTGTATACAAAGGTTGTAATGCTAGGATTGTAATACAAAGTTTATATAATTTTATATTGTTGACACATGTTAGGATTGGTTAAATAAAGTAAATCAATTTAATGAGGTGTCAAATTTACCTCTATTTCAACCAAGAGAAGTTTCATCCTCCCTTACACCCGATGCATCCTCACCAGCATTGTTGCTTGGAACTAACCCCAGAATGTTTGCTAGATCTATTCCATTTTTTGCTGCCAACATTTGAATGATAGTTTGCATTGTACTCATGCTTTGAGCCTGGTCAACTAACTGCTTTCCTTGGTCAGCTAATTGTTGTCGCTGGTCAACTAACTGCTGTTGAAGAACAATCACCTCGGAGTTAGGAGCCTCAAAATGTGTAGAAGATGAAGTACTGTCCTTGCGGATCCCGTATCCCTTCAAGAAGACCGACCTCTTCCCAAGTACTTCTCTAGAAATCTGCTCCTCAGACAATGGATGTGTGACACTAGGTTGAGATTGCTCAGCGATCTTTGAAACCATAGTGGCCTATGAATGAAACATAAATAAGCTTAAAACATAATATCAAAATGCAAACATTTATTATTGAAATTGAAATAGTTATGGTTACATGATGTTCCTCAGCTGTGTTATTTATCCACACTCCCCCATGTCGGTGACGTTTGTGGGTGTCCTCGAATAGTTTCGTAATAGTCGGTTTGCTTCCTTGTACCTTTCATTTCATTAGATTTTCTAGTCAATCAAAAAATTATATATTTATAATTTAGTATGTTCAAATTTGTAAATCTACACTTACAATGATAGATGCTCGCGATGCAAATGATCTCGAGCCACTCGTATGATTATACTTCACACAACCTCTCGCTTTCATCGCATTCTCTGACTTTACCTACAAATTAAAAAAAAATATTAGGTATTAATATACAGGAAGATGTTACTTTAGTAAATATTTTTATAAATACCTTCCAATCATCAGTTTCCCACAAATTGTCAATCATCCATTCCCAATCATCCTTTGTACAAGGATATAGTATCTGACTTTTGAGGTCAGATACATTGTTTTCTTTAAGGGATTTGTAGTGTGTGTGTAATCTACTTTTCCATTCACTGTACAAAGTTTGGCACTTATGATCAATAATACATCTCACATCCACATCATTATTGTAGTCCCCAAAGTCAAAAGTTTGCTGCAATTGGAAATAATAAAATTCAATATATTTTATATATCATTGCGATTAACATAAATAACATGTTAAATATATAACACATATATTTCAAATTACCCCAACTCTTGTAACAATGGACTCTCTTAACCCAAAGGCAATTTCTAGCCATCCATCATTTCGAACTGGGGCATGAACTCGAATTTGTTGACCAAGAGCAGCTGCTAGCGGTGTGGCGTATTCCCCTTCTATTGCTTTGGTCAAACGGTTAAGTGTAACGGGTATTCGATCACCACGTTCCTTTCTAATCTTCTCCACATTCTTTCCTCGGGTCGGTCCTCGTACACGTTTCTTGCCCAAAACTGGAATTGATGCTATTATGACCAAAATTTTATTCAATTTAGTCGACATAAAACATGAATGCACTAAATAAATATTGAGACAAGAAATTATCATTTCATTTAAGTGGTCATTTATTTCTCACCTCCACTGTTAGTCACAATACATGGACTTGAAAGGTGGTTAGGTTGAGTGGCGGAGGTAGGGAGCTGATCGGGCCTAGTATGTAAGGCGGGAAGATGGATAGGTTGGGTCGAGACCTCAGGTGTGCTCTCTGAATGATTAACTTGTGCAGTTACAGGTCGTCTCGGAAGAGTAAGTGTATCTTCATCAACAGTAGTTCTCTTTTCCCTAGGTATTTGTGAAGCTATTAGGCGAGCTGCACACCTATTTGTTTTCCTACCGGGACCCATATGAATATCCTGACATAATATAAAAAAGAATTGTTAGTACAGTTTCAATAATTTAAGGTTGCTTAATAAAAAATAAATTTGAAATAACTAAACATACCACAAGTAATATAACAAGTGAAAAAAATAGAGAAATTACTTTTTAAACACACATTTATTACCTTAATCACTTGAGAATCAAAAGGCTCGCCATTATCACTTGAAGAACTCAGTCCTTCATCATCATCAAGTGGTTGATAGTCCTCGTCATTATCAGTTTCGCCCACCTTTCTCTTTCCCACCCTACAACTTTCACTATTGTCCTTTTCAATAGAACCAAACATTGAATTCTTGAGGGACTTTATCCCTAGAGCATCAAATCTGATTTTATTTTTCTGGATTGTTTTTTTCCTATCCTTCTCATATTTCGTCATCTTCTGGACTAAGCCGCCGGGCTTAAGAAATGATTTACCGTTTCTGGACATCTTTGTAACTGTACATATGGCATATAATTAAATGAAATGAAATAGAGAAACAATGCTATGAAATTTATATTGTTCCTTAAAATTTTTAATTGCATAACAAATAACTCATTTCATTAATTAACTATTAAGTCAAATAACAATTTTTAATAATATCAGCAATATATTTCAATTAACCATTATGGTTATTTCATTGTTATATAGGAGGATAGTTAGGAATTTTATTTTTTCTATCAACTCTGTTAAATGATAAATTCTGATAAAAATAATATTTATAATTTTCAAAACTATATGATAATATGTATTTTAAATAAATCTTAAAAGATATACTTATAATTTTTTTAAAATTTTATTAAAAATATATATGTCCAAACATTATTGGATATCGAAGTTTCAGACTCTCGTAACAAAAACAAACTAACAGACTTCTAACCACGCGGTTATCATCTATCTTAATGCATGAGAGGTTTGGGACAGAATCAGAGAGTTGGGTGGCACTAACAACCCACCTTTAGTTCTTATGTACACCGTATTAGAAAAACACAGAATAAAAACAGAAAAAAATTTAAAAAATTCATGTCCTCAACTTCTTATGAATCTTGAAGCTTTTAACACCTTCAATGCATCTACAACAACAACAACAACAACAACAAAAAAACAAAATATTCCTTTAAATCACATGGAGCTTTTATCCCAAAAAACTACCCTCACTTTCTATTCTGTAGATACTCTGTAGAATATTTTAAAATACAAAATTGAATAAACAATTTTAAGGTCAATTACACTCGTAAACTCATAATTCTTCTAGATTGTCTTTTGTGTTAATTTTGTTATCTTGGTTCTAAATTATATCAGATTTTTACCCTTGAATATCTTATTTTGTGTCAATTTAGTTTAATTAGTAACGCTCCTTAAGAAATTGAATTGAAATTAAGATACAAAATAATCCATTCACCTTCCTCAAAATATGTGAAGGGTTGATATCCAATTTAAAACAATTTATTCACTTTTGAATGAAAGCTTTTATTTACACCACAAAGTCTCCTTCTTACACCCATTTTCTTTTTACACTTCATTCAAAATTTTAAAAATTTTATTTTATCTCTTCTCAACCCTTATAATTTCAACAATAACCTTATCGCTTGTCTTCCTTTTCTCTCTACACTCTTAACCTTCTAAACCTTAACTCACATCCTCCATCATCTCCACACCACCCTAGCCTCTTTCCTATCCTCTCTATCGCTCCTACACTCTCCCACCATCGCAACACCTATCCAATCCTTTCATTGGTATGAAAGATGACTTTTTTGGATTTTTTTATTTTTTTTATTTTTATTTTTATTTTTATTTTTTTGCATTCGAGTTTTTTCTTCTTTTTGGCAAGCCGAACATGCCAAAATTAGTGAAATTAGTTATGTTCAACCTCAATAGTCCGAACAATCCTAAAATATTCAACTACTAAAGGTCGAACAATCTTAGTTTATTTGACGAATTAGAGCCAAACAAGTTTTGACTCATTTTTTTTTAAAATAGCATGAAACTATATTAAAATGATAGAAAATTACACCCAAAAATCTTTTATATACTAAAATTTTGTATATAATTTATTTACAATTATCATATATGTGTGTGTGTGTGTGTGTGTTTTAACTATCAATTTTTTATTTTTCTAGTTTTTTTGTTAGTGTTTTTATGTTTATTATAGTAGTTGTGCTAGGAGTTGCAAAGGGATGAGAGGGTGAGAAAAAAGGGGTGCGGGTGGTGGTGGTAAGTGGAAGAGAAATGATGGTGGTTGGGTGGTAGAGATTGATGGAAGGGAAGAGTGGTGGTGGGTGATGAGAAGAAAGGGGAGATTGTACCATTGTGATTAAAGAGAAATTCTATTTAATATATATTATTTTAAGTCCGTGTAGGTAATTTTACCAAAGAGAGATCATAGTAAAAGATATTTAAAAAGTGGTGTAAAGAGATAAAATGGTTATGTAAATAGAAACTCTTTTTTTGAATAGATCATTTTGTCATTGATTTTTGTTATCAATTGAACTAAATCGATATATTATGAAAATTTAAGAGACAAAATTGGAACTATAAGAACCTAATTAGAACAAGAGAAAAATTATAGTGACCATGAGTATAATTATAACCTAGAGCTCAGTCTGTTGCCCTAATAGAGGAGGCCCATTGGCTCAGCCTGCCAGCTCGTTTGGGTCAAGCCCATTGAGTAGGGTTTGGGCATAAATTTTGGCCTCCCGACCCAACCTGAACCCCCCTCCCCCACACCAAAAATCAAAAAAAAAAAAAAGAAAAAAAAAGAAGAAGAAACAACTTGGTCTTAGCCCACAAGCGGTCTTGAGCTCAATTTTTGCTACCTAGCCAAGCTAACCCGATGTCGACCCTTAGCAATGATGTTATTATGTTTACATTATATAGTTAATTGATATGTTTCTTGGAAATAAAAATTTAAAATGAGAACATAAAAGTAAATTTTATATTCGTTGATCATTATAATTTAGGTTAAATTTACTTTGCCCTATGAAGTTTTATAATTTTCTCACTTTGATTGTTAAAATATATATATTTTTCATTTTGACCCTTAACGTTTGTAGTTTTTTTAAATTCACCACAAAACCTATTTTTGGTTCAATTGTAGACGGAAAATGCCATGTTGACATCCACATGGTCATGTGCCACCTACTATGTTGACATAAAAATGAACAAATTATACTTGGCCCCTTAAATTTCATGATTTTTTTACTTTGACTTTTAAAATATTTTTTCTCACTTTGACCCCTAACATGTGTAGTTTTTCTTAGTGTACTCCCAAAATCATCTTTTGGATGAAAAAATGCTAGCTACTTGGCGTGAAACTACATTACATTAAAAAATTAAGACTTAAAACTCAAAATTCAAAATAGACTTTTTCTCTCTCTAGAAAATGACCATTAATGAAGCTCTTTGATCTGAAGAATGACGAGATGATGGCCGCTCAATGGAGGAGATTGATCTCCTAAACCGTAGCAAGAAGAAGATTAAAAGTGCAACAGAGCAGCCAGGTGATGATACCATAGCTCAAAGTCAATCAGTAGAGAAAGAAACAAGGGATGCGCAAAAATTCACTCACTATGAGGAACAGTCGAAGGAGGACACATACAACCCAACAAATGAAGATTCAACCAGAGTCTAGATAGAAATCATGGAGGTAATTAAAGAATCAACAAGATCCTTCAAGCAAGCACTCCTCTGTTCGAGATTCAATGAAAATCGCAATGAAAAAAAATTTCGATTGCGATGTTGAAGAGATCTCTTCAGACGAGGAGAATGCAACTACTAATTGGAGGTTTGAGAAAGAGGATGAGGTAATGGATGAGGCAACAGATGGGATACCCAAAGTAAAGATACCACCAAGAACCCTAAAGAAAGTGTGCGAGCCATGGAAAAAGTGTCTGATCGTGAGATTATTAGGGAAAACCATAGACTACAAACTGTTCGTGACCAAGATGACAAAGATTTGGGAGTTACAAGCAGACTTTGAAGCCCTAGATATTGGTAATGGGTTTTTCATTGTTAAGTTTGACATGGTTGATGACTACACCAAAGTATACACTGGAGGACCATGGATAGTGATGGATCACTATGTAACAGTGAGGAAATGGCTAGAAGATTTCAAATCAGACGAAGCGGAAGAGGATACTACAGCGATATGGGTGAGATTTCCTAATCTCCTTATTGAGTACTACAATGAGAAAATCCTTTACCACATCGCAAAAGTTATTGGAGTTCTGCTCAAGATCGATATCAATACAGACATGGCAGCGAGAGGCAAATATGCATGAGTTTGCATAGAGATAGACCTCAAAAAGCCTCTAATTTCTCATTTTTCTATAGGTAAACACACTTACGGTGTTGAATATGAAGATTTACACTCATTATGTTTTTCTTGTGGCAGGATTGGTCACCAAAGAGAAGCATGTAGTGGTAAACCTACTTTGCCGACGGTGTAAGACGGTGAGGCAATGAATGGAGATTGAAGCCAGAGAAATGAAAGTCAAGTCAGTTCTGGGCCAAACCCAAGGAGGAAAGAACATAAAGATGAGCTAGGCCCAGGGAATTATGGGTCATGGATGATTGTTCTAAGCCAAAGAAGAAAATCAAGAGGCCCAAATGTTCACAGAGGTGATACTTCTCAACAGACTAATAGATTTGAGATGTTACGAGAGGAAGAGGAACAAAGAGGCCCCAAAGCCCAATTAACCAAGGAAAAAGGGAAAGAAAAAGCCCTAGTAGATGGGGACTTTCCGCACAAGGCTAGAGCATCAGCAAAAAAGAATAAAACAACTAGCCTTGGCATGGCTACTAAAAAGAAAGGAGAGAAAGTCTGAATGGGAAATAAAGGTGGTATTGACATGATGATACGAGATCAAGAAGCAGTAATGGGGAAGAGTGAGACATCAAATCCTCTTAATAGTAAAAATCATACATTTATCACCATAAACCAGCCACCCACTCACCCAACCACCCCAGTCAACATTCCACTAATTCTTATCCAAGAATAGGCAGTTCCAGACCCATATTCAGAGTTCCACCAAATAAAAATACAGGATGAATGAGAGAACTACCTTACGAAGAAGCACATACTGCACCAGAATAGAGTATTGGTCTGTCTATCCCCAGGGAAAGAAGTGTTTCACCCCATCACCTCAAAATGGTGGAACGAGGAAGTAAAGTTGAGGCTTCTACCATAAAGGCAGGTGGATGCAAACCAAGACATGCACTACCTCTCAATGACACCACTGAAGTCAATGGAAGATAATTTCAAAGCCATAAGAGGCTACCTGACAATAGATAGCCAAGTACCTCTACCCCAACAAGCTATACCATCTATGGATTTGTTAACCTGGAATTGTAGAGGAGCAGGGAACAAAAAGTTTTAAAGGAATATGAGCGAATTAGTTCAGATCCATAAACCAGAACTGGTTGTCCTTATGGAAAATAAAGTTGAGTTCAAGGTTATGGGATTG